AAAGACATCATGCCAAAATTTCTCTAGCAGGCTTGAAATCTCCAGCATAGCAAAATAACAGTATCCAGTGAGCCTAGATGAAATGAGTTGATGCTTCGATTTCTTGTAATGTTTGATACTGAGTTTAGACACCAGAGGTCAGACATTGCTGCTGATCAGCTTAGGAAATGGGAACAGCTCTAGCAAATAATAGGAAATGAGTTTTCCTTTCAATGTGATCACGTTTATGGGTTTTGCCTAGCTTTTTCCCCCCATTAGCCTTTAGAAAAAGAAACTGCTTTTCTTGAAGTTCCTCCTGGCAGAAAAATAAGCCAAGCAGAAATGCCCAGTTTTTAAGAATTTGTTGTGGTTTTGTCCCCTACCTTTTCCACTTTACAGTTTCTAATAAGCTGATTGTCTTCTTCACCTGAGGATTTAATTTACTAAATCATTAAAAATTCAAGTAGCTCTTCAAATTTTCTTCCTCGCTGTGTTCAAAGCACAGTTTCGAAAGCTACTCCACATCGTAGCAATGGGGGGTTGACAAATTCCCTCTCTGTTTCTGCACTGCAAATGTGTTATGAGAAAAGTGTAGCTGAGACAATGAATTTGCTCCTTGTACATGCCCGGCACATGACGCAGCACCTCGGCCGGCAGCAGCACCTCTGACCTTGGGCAGAACTGGCCAGCGGAGAACACGGCCCCCAGACCCTACTCCCGTGGAAAGCTTCAATTCCTGCAATTGGCAATTCGGCCTTCCTTTCAATGTGATCATTTTTATAGGGTTTGTCTAGCTTTTTTTTTGCCCCATTAGCCTTCAGAAAAAGAAACTGCTCTTCTTGAAATTCTGGCAGAAAAATAAGTCAAGCAGAAATACGCATTTTTTAAAGAATTCATTGTGGTTTTGTCCCCTACAGCTGCTTTTTACTGAGTATGTGGCAGAGGTTCCTTCTGGGGTTTCTGTGGTGCAGGAGGATGCATGTTTCTCTTTGGTATCAGTTTCTTTTGTGAAAATGCATTCTTATGCACAGAAAGCTGTTTGTATATCACAGAAGACTTTGCTCGGCGCAGCAGCACTATCCTTCCAGCTCTCCTCTGCCACTGAGGTCAGTGTTCAGAGCAAGGGGAAAGCTGCAGCAAGGGAGCAGCAGGGTCTGGGTGCAGGGAGGAAGGAGGAATAACACTAAACCCCTTTGCCAGCCTCATTGTAAGCCTGAGTCCAGAGAGATTTTCCTCCTCTCATTTCTGTCTCTGGACATCAAGCTTCCTGGAAATTGGCATGAGAGAGATGGATACAGATACCATCTGACGAAGCTTTATATTTATTCTAAAATGAGTAATCATAAATCTAATCAAGTGCATGTTCAGTACTCTTTGGAGCAGAGCTCTGCTTGGGCTCATTCAGCTGGTGAGGATGGCTGTGCAGTTCATTGCCTGGGCACTATGACAGAAAATTGCCCTTACTGACCCCTTAATGCTTTTTTTTCTATTGCAAGAGATCTCCAATTTTATCTTTTTGACTAACAAAAAAAGGTACAGAATAATAAATTTTCCCCTTGTGAAACTGGTAGGATTTGATAGAAATGGTGTCATTAATATGAGGCCAGTTCAGAATGAATGAGAGGTGGACACCACATGTGACTGTATTTTGGCTAGCATGGGTCTAAATTGTAGGTGGGATATCTACATGAACAAAGGCACTACTAGCAGCAGTCAGGAGTTTATTTTGTTTTGTTTTTCATAAATGTAACAGTCAATAAGATAGTCTTGTGTGGTGCAGAATTAAAAATCTGTTTTGGAGCAGGGTTCGGTTTTCTGCTATATTGGTGGTATCGCTCTTAAATGCAACACGCTCTGTACATTTGCCTCCCTGCTGTTCAGTACTGCGAAGAAAAATGGTGATAATCTCTCTGCTTATGAAGAGGGGAATGAGAAAGTTCCTGGAGCTCCTCCCCATTATCCAGCACATCTAAATGCTGTTTTCCGGAGTAGTCGTATCAGTATAATTGCCTTCTCTGCATTAGTATTTCACTCGCACTGTCAAGAATACAAAGTGTTCTCCTCCACATGAAAACAGCATGCTATTTCTGTGTCTTTCAAAGCCTTGCTAGCTGGAGAATGAGGCCATCTTTGATCTTAAATTTGCCAAATCTGCTCCCTGGAATGTTGCAAAGTTGGCTAGAAGCAGTCTTCGGCTTCTCTCTGCTCAGCCCTAGTTGTCCTCCAGCTTCTTATCATTATTTTACCCCTGGTGACCATTGAAAAAAGAAACTATGATATTGTGCACATTTAGCTTATCTTTGCTTGGATCTGTGGGAATCGGTGTGCTAAATAACGATCCCTGGAGAATTCAGTATGACAGCCCAGGTCTCCTGATTCTGCTGTCTCATAATGACTGAAGCTAGTAAGGCTACAGGATGCAATGGCCATGAGAGAATATACTTTAAGATAGCATAGCAAGACTGGGGTCTTTCCACTCCAAGATAAGGCAGGCACTGCATTCCTCCACCACAACTTCTTCAGATACTCAGGGAACCCATGTTTAGTAAGAAATGTTTCAGTTAATGCTGAGCTAACACATAGTAATCTTCTTTAGGTCCAGGGCATGAGTTTGAGCAATGACTTTACCCTCTGGACAGAAGATAGTGGTGGTCTGTAAGGCATCAGATGACAGTCAGCAGAATTCTAGCTGAGGAAATGTAAACACTTCCCCACACACTGTCATTCCCACATGCACAACCCAACAAACAAAGACAAAAAGAGGAGTAATAAATGAACATTCAGAATAATTTTGGCACCACTGCAAAAATTGTTGCCTGATTCCAACCCCTCTGCAACAAGGTGGAGGGCTCTTTGAATTAGAAATGCTTCAGAAATTTGACTATTTGACTTTCTTTCTAGCCCTTCATTCTGCTGGTCTGTTAGCAGACAGAAATACAGCAGTCCAATGACAAGTAATATATTCCACATATGTCCATTGACTGGAAAATTCTAGATGAATTTTGGGTTAATCCCTCAGCAGTTGACGGCCATGACCAATTACCATCAGAACCTGTCCCTATAGATCACACCCTAATTTAACAATAAATTACTTTAACCTCATACATCTATTTGCAGTGATTTCCAGAAAACATTACTAACCGTAAAGGAATCCTCCCGTGGGTTAAGTAATTACCCTGGAGAGCTAGCTTTCACTCTTCAGCAGCAGGAGCAAATAGCATTTCTAATGAGCTGGGTATAAATAACAAGTTGAATGCTGTCAAGCATCAATATTTACTCTGCATTGGATAGAACTGCTAACTGAATTAGCCCCTTTGCAGTGAGGGACTGGGTTTGCATGCAATTATAATCATGACATTCTCACTTGATGCCTTATTAGCTTTCTCAACACACTATAAATAGAAAATGCATATTCAGAAATGTTGCACTGAGTGGTGCCTATCTGTCAGTTTTTCTACATTATCCAGTGGTACCTTTACAGATATAAAATTGAAGTTCTCCTTATATGCTTTTAACAACCTGAAGTAGCTAGCTGCAACACTAAGCAAATTTACAACCCAGGCTGTCTGACGTCTCTTTATAGGCAAAGTTTTTTACCACCATAATATCTGCTTACTTAAATGAGGTAGAACCAAGATTAAGGATCCATCTATGAAGACCAGCTTGCTGGACAAGGGGATTTCCATCTATATTGCACAATAACTGTTTTCTGTGAAATTTAAGAAAGCTGATCAAGCATTGGAATGGTAATTTTACTGGAAATTCTAACATATTGGTTATTTCACTTGAAATTAGACAAAAATATTAGATTCTTCATGAAACAAAAGTTCTGCAGAAAACAGAGTCCATCAAAATGTTTCATTTTGTCTTTAATACCATATGTAGTAATTTCCAGTAAAATATATCTATTTTAATAATTTTACATTAATTTTCTCCACATGCAGTATTAAAATATATTTCAAATTATTTATTTTTATGGCTTTAAAAATATTTTAAAATAATTTCCTGTTGACAAAAGGGTGGGTTTTTTCAGGAAACTTTAAAACAATTTATTCTAATGTTAATCGTAGCCCTTGCTATTTTGTTTAAGTACCAGCTGATGTGTAATGTGATATTCTAGCATACAGGAATTTTTTCATATTAGTATAAGAGCACTTCCAAAGTTGGAGAAGATTGTAGCATAACGTGTGTTTGAAAAATAACATATGTTCATGAAATTGAAGTCTTTCTCAAAATGCAAGCATGCCAAGAGATACAGTTAAGATTAGGTACCAAGATTTTAGCATTTCCTGGCTGAAGTTTTTTCAAAGTGGTTTTAGAGAGGAGGGTTTTTTCTCTTTTTCTGTGACAGTTTTCAATGGCTTATATAGATAGCGGCTGTAATTAAAGAAATAGATATGTGTTCAAATACTGCAGTTCCAGACAGAGGTGTGAGCTGCTGAGAACAAGGCTGGGGCAACAGAGACGGTGTGGCCATACATCTGCTCACACGTCACACCACTAGCTAGACCTGGGTCATGTCAAGCAGTGCTAACTGTATGGGACTGCAGCTCATTTGCTCTCCACTTCATTAAATTCACAGGTCTGCTCTGTGTGTCCATTAAACTGTTCACATGTGTATCATTTATACAGCAAATAATCATTGGGCATGAGTTATAACTTCAAAATTGACATATTATTATAAATTGTTTTTAGCAATTTCCACTGGCCACAGCCAACATATTATCATGCATGCGGGCTAGGGGTGATACTTCACAAAAGTTTAACCATCAGAGGCAGCTTCTGCCTCAAGGCCCTCTGAAGCAGACCCTTTCCCCTCTTAGGGATGGGGGCACGGCCCTCCAAACCCTCTCCTCTGGCACGAGCAGCACGGAGGCTGCTTCCTAACACAGGGTGTCCGCCTTGGTCCACAGGGGCACAGTTACCAAAGTGGTACGCTCCACTTTTCCTTTTTGCTCCTCTGTTACACTAGGATGACTGAGTGCCTGCTTGGGCCACTCTAACACATCTTGGTTTTGCAGTTCCAGGTCCTCCTGCTGGTGTTAAAGCAGCTGCAGCTTCGGCCTCCACTGTCTTCGTGTCCTGGCTCCCTCCTCTCAAGCTGAATGGCATCATTCGGAAATACACTGTCTTCTGCTCACACCCCTACCCCACAGTAAGTCCCTCAGGGCAACCAAAGAAGCACAGCGCTGACTCGTGATGCTGAAATTGTGTGTCTGTAGGTGCCCAGTGCTTGATGTTTTCATTGCCTCTTCCTTTCCTGCAATTTGCTCTTTCCCCTAAGCAAGGGTGAAGGGGGATCCTGGGGCTACAGGGTGACTTGAGACTTGGTTTTGGTTTTTCCCACCTATAAAACTTTTATTTTTATACTTAAAACTTATTGCAGAGTGCTGACTTACACATCATGTCAAAACTCACCATTGAAGTGGAGTATCTTTTAAGGCATGGGGTTTTTTTTAGAATTTACTCAGTGACCTTTTACAGCACTGCCTGCAAGCTATGTAGAGCCCTGTTGTAGCTGGGGGCGTGTATTTGTATACCCAGCTGATGAATCTGACTTCTGTTTTCATCTAAGTTCTTACCATTTTGACTTGGGTATTCATGTGTGAAGGAGCATAACAACATATGAATGAACATATTTGCTTGTGAATAGACTTATTTGTGCCTGGAGTATTTGCCCACTCTAGATCGACATGCTATTACTTGCTGAGAAAGTGACAAGAGGAAAATAGAACTGAATGTCAGTTATCTTTCTCTCTGTCCAAGTCACAAAGGAATCCAGGCATCTTTAAACACAAGGGCCAATTCCTCTTTGTAAATACCTATATACATTTATTGTAATATGCATTGAAAAAGTACTTGTTTAGTTTTTATCCAAGGTTTTAATTTAGTTTTTAAGCAGGACTTCCCATCAAAGGTAGCATTGCAAGTTGCAAAAAGTAGTCTTAGTTTAATAGACAAGGAAAATACTGTTTCAGAAGAAGGAAGAGTTTGACAGGGAAATTTCCAAAAGTGCTTCAGGCTCGTTTTCAAAACTGGCTGGGAGAGAGGAAGGCCTGAGGGTATGTCTGAATGGGACCCTGTGGGCAGACACAGCCTCACCCAAACCATTCTTCCAGCAAGTGAACTAATTCTGCAGGTACTCAAGGGGGGATGGGGCAAAACACATAGGTCCATTGATGGCTATGCTTAAATGGATATATCATACTATAAGCAGGGTTTATTAGTCACATCCAAAGCTAAGAGTTGCAGATCTTTGCTTTATTTATGTTTGTGGTGGACGCCAGGTACCCCCCAAAAGCTGCTCTATCACTCCCCTCCTCAGCTGGACAGGGGAGAGAAAATATAATGAAAGGTTCATGGGTCGAGATAAGGACAGGGAGATATCACTCACCAATTACTGTCATGGACAAAACAGACTCAACTTGGGAAAATTAATTTAATTTGTTACCAATCAAATCAGAGTAGGATAATGAGAAATAAAACTGAATCTTAAAAACACCTTCCCCCCATCCCTCTCTTCTTCCCAGGATCAACTTCACTCCTGATTCCTCTGCCTCCTCCCCCACAGTGGCACAGGGGGACGGAGAATGGGGATTATGGTCAGTTCATCATACATTGTCTCTGTCGCTCCTTTCTCCTCAGGGGGAGGACTCCTCTCACCGTTCCCCTGCTGCAGCCTGGGGTCCCTCCCACCAGAGATAGTCCTCCACCAACTTTTCCAATGTGAGTCCTTCCCATGGGCTACAGTTCTTCACCAACTGCTCCAGCTTGGGTCCCTTCCACGGGGTGCAGTCCTTCAGGAGCAAACTGCTCCAGCTTGGGTCCCCCACGGGGTCACAAGTCCTGCCAGCAAACCTGCTCTGACGTGGGCTCCTCTCTCCACGGGGCCACAGGTCCTACCAGGAGCTTGCTCCAGTGTGGGCTTCCCACAGGGCCACAGCCTCCTTCAGGCGTCTCCACCTGCTCCAGCGTGGGGTCCTCCAGGGGCTGCAGGTGGAATCTCTAAACCCCCTCATCCTCCCTCCATGGGCTGCAGGGGGACAGCCTGCCTCACCAGGTTCTTCTCCAGTGGCTGCAGCAATGAATGTCTGCTCTGGTGCCTGAAGCACCTCCTCCCCCTGCTTCTGCACTGACCTGAGTGTCTGCAGAGTTGTTCCTCTCACATATTCTCACTCCTCTCTCTGGCTGCAGTTGCTGCTATTTTTTTTCTCCCCCTTCTTAACTCTGTTATCCCAGAGGCACTACCACCGTTGCTGATGGGCTTGGCCTTGGCCAGCAGCGGGTACATCTTGAAGCCGGCTGGCATTGACTCTATGGGACCTAGGGGAAGCTTCTAGCAGCTTCTCACAGAAGCCACCCCTGTAGCCCCCAATACCAAAACCTTGCCATGCAAACCCAATACAATGTTTTGGGACTACTGACTCCTAACTCCATTAATTTAATGAGTGTAGCCACGCAAACCAAACTATCTTGAGCATATCGTTTAAATGTCAACTAGCCAGAGATTTTTCCATCATGGTTCGTACGTTTCAATGGCACACAGTGGGTTAAAGAGGTCGGAGTTTACAAAACTGGATCTTGCTGTTATGGCTCTGCTCCAAGGGGACCAAACAGTTCTCTGGGGGGTTGGAGAGAACACCAGGTGGTGCTGCCGGCTTTTGCTAGTTACCATGCACAAAGCTGCAGTGTTGCTTCCTCAGGCTTTGCTAGCAACAATTTTTTGTACGTTTAAATCACCAGGAAAATAAACATCCTCAGTTAATTTTTTTTTGTCTAATATGCAGTTTTCTCATATACAAAATTATTGGTTTTAAGCCTGCTTATTGTATGGTTATCTTTTGGAGTACCTCCGTGATGGACAATAACAAGAATAGTTATTCTTTTTGCTGGTCTTGGCCTGTACTGAATTTTACTGCTATATTTTTGTAGTGTTCATTATGGCATGATGTCAGGGTATCACCATATACCTTAGCCCAAGGTAGAGGCACTTGGAGGTGTTTGTGTTTTCTACTAATCATTAATGTGTTCATGTATAGTTATCCTGTTGTTACCTGTGTGCATGAAGGGGTGTACGTGTTTTTGTGCATATAAATAGATGTATCTACATACACATATGTGTGTGTATATATATATATGTACAATATGTATCTGAGGATATTCCCTGCACCGCTTCTCACTAGTGCTTTGCAGATTAGCATGAATTGTGGCTTACGGAGCAGGTCTTCTGTATCAGCCCTGTGTGATGAGTGAGGCAGTGGTCACAGGCAGTGGTCAATTTCCAGAAGCCAAGTTGGACATCTTTAAATATGTGCAAGAGCTCAGGACACATTTAATATAGGATGCACTCCCCCCGGCTTCATTTCTAACAAAATGCTTTGTTAGCTTTTATTCTTAAAAAGATTGTGAAATAAAAAGTTATTTTATTCAGAGCTAGCTTTGCAGTGAAAGAAGTCTGTTGCAGAGGTGCTTAGAAGTTAACATTCCTGTACAGACATGGTCTATATATCCCAAGGAAGTTCTTGTATGGTTCACTGTTGGCAGAGACAAGACAGAGAAAGTGGTCTTAAATTAGGGTGGGGAGGGGAATAAATAGAAGACCTGTGTCTTTATCATCTCCTCTGCCACCGTAAGTATACTCCAAGTGTTGTAGTTGTAGGCATAGAGCCTTAAAAACTTCCTGAACAAACTTCTTCCTTTAACCAAAGCACTGGTTGCAAAATAACTTTGCTAAAAGTCTGCCATTTAAGCAGAAAGCCAAACTCTAATTTTTAAGCATCAATGAGGAGGAAGAGAAAAGGACAGTGGTAAAGGTAAACTTACAGGAAGGCTATATTCTTTGCAGGTTGCGTTTTACAAGCAGTATGTGTATGCTGAAAACAAGTCAATACAGTACACTCTAGACACTTGGGCTAACAAGACAGTCCTTTACACAAGAACACTGCTTTGTTGTTGAAGGCACCAACAGGAAAACAAATTAACTCTGTTGTGCATATTTTCACTACAAAGCACAACCCTCATACAACTCTGATGTATTATAAGATGAAGATTTGCTACCTCTTGCACAGTTCAGTTTGCTTTGCAAGGGCAGAAGCTGTTAAAACTTCTGCTGTCCCTCTACAGAAGGGTGCAGACATTTCCTTTTCAAATATTTTGTGTCCTAAGGACAGTATTTGCCTGGATGTTTCAAGCCAAAAATACGATTAATGGTGAAAAATAAAAATGATTCTCCACTGCAATCTCTTCTCTAGCAAGGATCCAATGTCATACTGTTTAATTGTTGTGCCTATATTATTGTACAGGCATTATTAGGCAGATCTTTCTCTTTTTTTGTTCTACAAAAGTAGGAAAAAATACAGAAATATGTCTTAATGGGTCCTTCATTCTTCAAATATAAGAAAAAAACATACCAGAATTTAAGTTAAAATAATTATCCTCTGTGCTAACTCATAGCCCATATTCCCACAGTTCTTGACTCTACTTCCTCCCACATCCATGTCCAACTCCTTGGAGGAGCTGGTTTCTCAAGACCACCTGTAATTGTCCCATGTTGGCCACCTTCCTTCTAGGTGTGCTTATCCCCAGCGTACCGGCAGGACGCTCATCATGCTCATTCTGCCCAGGCCTCAGGGAAGCAACAGGTAGTGCTATCAGCTGCAGCACAGGCCGCCACCCCATCCCGTCTGTGTAGGTTTTCCCAGTGGTGCCATAGACATTGCACATGGTTTGAATCCTAGCAAAGAAGCTAGGGTGGTTTGGCTCCTACCTGGCTGTGGGGGGAGCTGCTTTAAGTGGCTGCTCCAGCCCACTACTGCCTTGCATTGTAGATGTCTATTGCTGGGGCTTTTAACAGGGCAGAGAAAATGAGATTTAGGTGATTTCTGAAAAAAAACCTCCACTAACCTCTTGTTGCATTCAGGTCAGTACACTACATCAGGAGGAATCAATGGGATTAGATTTAATGAAATTTGGATGGCAGAAAGTGCCCAGAAGAGGTCATCGTGACACAAAGCATGGAATGGCTAAACAGCCTGGGAAACTGTAATCTCAGAACAGGTAAAAAGCAACACAGAAAGAAGGCAGGAGAAAGAAGGTTTAAAGGCAGAGTTTCCTGGCACAGGAAGGGCTGAAAAAGCATTCGAACTGACAGGGAAA